TTGGAATACTGTATCTTGTCTATGAACATAGTTACAGAGCAAAATGAGAAAAAAAAGCAGGCCCGCCCCGGGCCTGCCGGGCCCCGCGAGAAAAACCACTTTATGATCTGCAACTTTGTTCATAGACAAGATACAGTATTCCAAATAATACTGTTTTGTAGTACTCGTGGAGCTCTATCATATCTGTTTAGTTGGTTCGAAAATATAGGTTCTGAATGAAATTATGGCAGGGCCCGCGAAGGCCCGGCAAAGGCCCGGATTACAAGTATGCAAAATAGTAGCATATTATTTTTGACCTGTAAATTGAGCGCGCGGTGGGAAAATTTGAATTTTCACTAGTTTCCAGACGATTTTTAGGATTTTCAGCTTCATTTTTATTCGATTTTCTGCTTTTTGAGCTATAGACTCTTTGAAATTCGCTGAAAATTGTTTTAAAATTTATTGAAATCGGCTTTGAAAAATTTAAAAGTTTCAAACTCGCGCGCTTTGCGGCAATACTGTACCAGGCAACCTGCGCATCAAACCCGCAAATTAGCAAATTTTGTTTTTTTGTTTTTTCCGGGCTCATTTCCTCGATTCCTATCAATTTTGGTCTATTTTTCTCGCGGTTTTTTTTGATTCATCGATAAAAATCAAGAAAAAGAGCGATTTTTTACTAAAGAAACCACGAAATTCGATAGATTTTCTATTTAAATGACCTTGAAATTCGAAATTTGCATTAGGCGCGAGTTTTGTTTGTTTTTCCCGGATTTCAGGTGGATTACCTGTAGATTTCAAACTAGAATCAGACAACATATAGCCAATTTTCATGGAAAAATCCGAAATTTTCAAGAAAAAAATTTTTTATTTGAATTTTTTTTCGTTTTTCTGTGAGTCGCCATGCGGTTTGCAGAGAATCTACTTATTTTTAATGAATTATCACATAGGAGCGCTTTTAAAAATTCGATTTTTAGACTAGTTTTTTTTAGATTTTAAGACTATTTTCTGAAATTTTCGATTTTTAGGCTAATTTTTCAGGATTTTAGTTGTTAACAAAGTTTTTTCAGAAACCCGAGTAGTTTTATAGTGATTGCGAGCGACATGACGCGGTCGCGCTTTTTTAATGGGTTTGGGAAGTTCGACCCCGTAGTGTATGCCACATGTATCTCACAGCATATGTTCTGCCACCTTTTTCCTCTCTTTTTGCTATACTCAAGCCTTTTTCTCTCTCATAACGTCAAATTTTCGGTGATTAAATATGAGCGATCCGCTCGACAAGATCATGGGGAACATGGGCGGCGACTTGAAGCCAGCCTCATCCACCAGCAGCTCAAGCTTCACAAGAATCCCAAAAAGAGATCGCACATCGCCGGAGAAGGGAGAGCCATCATCAAAGCGCTCCGGTAAGTTCTCAAACCCCAATTCAAAACCATAGCTTTGAAAATGCCAGCTCCATTCACAACTCCATCCTCTACCACCAAAATCGGACGTGACTCCTTTGCTGTGATGGATACAATGGAGGTTCAGATGAACATGTTCCAATTGGACATCACAAAAATGCCACCAGTCATTCAACGCCTTCACGTTGATACCTTGATCATCACCTCGAAAGGAAAAGAGATCAATTTGAATCTGGGAACAGTGTCCACTGGTGGAGAGTGAGTCAGAAACAAGCATTTTCTGGCATGAATCCTTTTGTTTGCAGCGTAAACTCGCACAACCGCCGTTTGGCTCAACATGAAATAATGCGAAAGTTCTTCGAGAAGAAGCGATCTCTGTTCAGCAGCTCAAGCTACCACTCGCTGGCTTATGACACTGCTGCGTGTCTTTACATTCCGGAAGGACAGTATCGCGGCGGTGAATATGAAGAAGTGTGCCTCTCACAGCAGGACTTTGCACCAGAAGAATGGGATATTGTCTCGAAAATTTCCCGCCGTAAGGATGACTCCTTCATCGTAAGAATCAAGCCAGCTGGTGCCGTATACACCCAAGGAGATGAACTATTTGAGCCCAGCAACAGATACGAGTTGACAAGAATTGTCGAGATCGTAACCTCACAGAAATTGAACACCACCGATTTTTATCAATTCGGAAATGCCACGTTCCCACTTCGAGCTCATCCGAATTCCGAACCAGATGCCTCTTCGGAAATTCGCTCAGGATTCGCCAAAGTCGCTCGTCTCACTGAAGGTCGCGAAGGAAAACACGAGATGTTGATGACAGTCGACACTAAGCTTTCTCCATTCTACAAACCAACTTCCGTGATCAGATGCGTTCTTACCAAGATTCAAGAGTCTCGTGGAGGAGGCGGAGGAGGCGGTCGTGGAGGATATGGTGGCGGTAGAGGCGGCTACGGAGGACGCAACGACTCCAGAGATTCGCGCGGAAGCTTCGGAGGTCGCAGTGACTCAAGAGATCCTCGTGGATACGGAGGAGGTTACGACAGAAGATCCGACTCTCGAGACAGCCGTGGTGGCAGAGATTCCTACGATTCACGTCGCGGTGGCGGAGACAGCGAAGATTTCAGCTCTCATGAAATCGATGAAATCGCCAGGGCTTGCATGGAAAGTGACAAATTCTTGTACTCGTTGGAATCTGCACTCAAAGGATTGTTTGCCGAAGCCATTCATCTCAAGGGCTCTGCCTGCACAATTCGTATCACTGGTATTAAGCAATGCACTGCTAACAAGTGAGTTTTTAAGGAGGAATATTTGGAAAAAAAAAACAAAATTGCAGCACCAAATTCACCAAGAAAGACGATAAGGGAGAGCGCGAGATCTCTGTCTCTGACTATTTCTACGAAGAGTATAACATCAAGCTCAAGTATCCAAACCTTCCACTTATTGTGTCAAAGAAGATGAAGTACGAGTGCTTCTTCCCAATGGAGGTCCTCCGTATCATTCCTGGACAACGTATCAAGGTCAACAAGATGAGCGCCACCGTCCAATCAGCAATGACTGGAAGAAACGCAACCATGCCACGTCAGCACGTGGATCTTGTTCAGAGAATCCTCCAAGACTCCTTGAAGCTCGAAAGAAACAAATACATGGACGCCTTCGGAATTGAATTGAAATCAACCAGACCAGTTCAATTGAAAGCGAAAATCTTGCCACCAGCGGAAATTCGATTCAAGAATCTGACTTATATGCCAGAAATTAAACGTCCAGGATTCAAAAACCCAGGCAAGTTTGTGGAGCCAGCGCACATCTATAGAGTCGCTGTGGTTTCGTTTGACAACGCCATCGATATGAGACAAGCTGAGGACTTCTGCGATCGTCTCTTTGACTACTGTAGAGATCAAGGAATCAAATGCGACCGCGAATCGAAGGATTGGTCGATTCGTGAGTTGAGCTCCTCGGACAACGTTGGTATCAAGGAAGCCATGGAGAATTGGATGAAGAAAAAGGTTGACATTTTCGTCGGAATCGCTCGTGACAAGAAACCAGATGTGCACGACATCATGAAGTACTACGAGGAGTCCGTTGGAATGCAAACTATCCAACTTTGCAAGCAGACAGTCGACAAGATGATGAATCCACAAGGAGGTCGTCAGACAATCGACAACGTCATGCGCAAATTCAACTTGAAATGCGGTGGAACCAACTTCTATGTTGATATTCCGAGCAATATTCGTGGAAGGAGTATCTGTTCCAATACCGAGACTTTGCACAAAAAGTTGCTTGAGAAGGTTCAATTCATCGGCTTTGAAATTTCCCACGGAGCTGCTCGCACTCTCTACGACCGCTCTCGCAATCAAATGGACGGAGAACCATCGATCGTCGGTGTCTCTTATTCGTTGAAGCAGTCTACTCAACTCGGAGGTTTCAGTTATATGCAAACCCAAAGAGAATACAAGATCCAGAAGCTCGACGACGCTTTCCCAAAATGCGTCAAGGCATACGCTGAAGACGCGAAGACGCTTCCAACTCGCATCGTCATCTATCGTGTCGGTGCTGGCGAGGGAGATTTCAAGAGAATCAAGGAAGAAATCCAGGAGATTCGTGGCACTTTTGAGAAGATCGAGAAAGGATACAACCCAGCTCTCGTTTTCATTGTCGCTCAGAAAGGCTCTCATACTCGTATCTTCCCATCGAGAATCGATGGAAACAAGGCTTTCGAGCAGAATGTCCCATCCGGAACTTGCATCGACAACGTCGTCACCTCGTTCGGCTACGATGAGTTCATTCTCAGCTCACAGACTCCATTGATTGTAATGTTTCTTATTTTTAGACGCAATTTTCAATGTTTTATTATTCCAGGGAACAGTTCGTCCATGCAAGTACACCATCATAGCTAACGATCCAGCCTGGTCCAAGAACGAATTGATCCATCTCACCTATTTCCGTGCTTTCGGTCATCAAGTCAGCTACCAACCACCATCGGTTCCAGACGTTCTCTACGCAGCCGAGAATCTCGCCAAGCGTGGAAAGAACAACTACAGAGTTCATCAGTAAGTTCTAAAATCCCTAAATCGCTGAAAAATGTTTTCTTTTCCCCTCTAAAGATTCAAAGTTCAAGGAAACTAAATTTTTTGATTGTTTTCCCTCAAAAATCCTAACATTTTCCCTCTGTAAGTATCTAGCTCGCTTTAACTCAATTTCTCATGTTCCGAGACTACAAACTACACATTTTGTTTCATCCCTATCGGAACATCTATCATTTTTATTAAAATTTTAATTTCCAGGCGCTACGTCAGCATGCAGGCCATCGAGCGTCGCATAATCTCGGAGAACGCCGACTTCGTCAACGAGAACATGCAAGAGCAATTGGCATCTGCGATCATCGACGAAATGAGCGACGCCATGAACGGAATGACCATTCCAAAGAGAAACTTCTGGGCTTAAACCCTTAAATCCAATAAATCGACTTGTTTTTCTTTCTCTATCACCCGTTTTACCACTTCCTGTTCTCTATTCCATACTTTTTATCCAACACCCGTGCATTTTTTTTATAATTTTCTATGTAAACCTGCTCCCTACTACCAATGTATCCAAATTTATTTTCTGCACATTTTTTTATCCCACTCCTCGTACAAGTATACCTCCCCCCAAACTATCTTTGAATTTTCTGAACACGTATCTCGCTTATACTTGCTCTTGTCTGCCACCAATTCTCCTCAAACTGGTAAATAGAGACCTCATGCTGGAACAAGATTCCCAATAAACTGCCGAAGGGTGAAGCTATGATCTTAATCTTCCGCTTTTTCTGTAGATTTCGTACTTTACAAAATTTTGGGGCAATTGCCTCAGGGTCAAATCATGTGATTTAGTTGTCCCTCTCCCCTAGTACTGGTTTTTCATTCTTTTTCTCGATCGGCAGCAGCAGCTGTCAAATAGGAAAGAAGTGAAAGTTTTGCACTTTAAAATCTGAAATTTTGATTTTTTTTTAAATCGATTTTTCAGGATTTTCCCCATTTTTCGGTTTTTTTCAAGATTTCAACCTATTTTTCCAATTTTCCCTCTTTAAAAATACAAAAATACCAGTTTACACCCCATTAAAACAGTCATCTGCTGTTCACGTGCTTTGTCTGGCAACACAAAAATTTTCAATAGAGTCCAATGGAGCGCACTTGCACCCACATCACACAAAGTGCTTGTGATGACTGCCTCCCTCTCCTCGTGAGCCTCCCCGTTTTCTTATTGATTTTTTTTCGCTCGTTTTCGGTCCTTTTGTCTATAATTTAGCGAAATAATTTTCAGACAAAACTGGATGTTCAGTTCGCAATCAAAACGATCATATCAGGTGAATTTTTGGTTTTTTTAGCTGCAAAAAATAAAATTCGGCAATTTTCGCTTATTTTTTCCTTCGATTTTAGTTGTAATTTACGATTTTTAAGCAGTGAAAAATGCGAAAAAAATCCCCGAAAAAAAAAATAATTCCGTAATTTTCGATATTTCGTGTCAAGACCCAACCTCGTTTCGACGCATGCTCCTTTAAATTACTATAGATTTTTTTTGCCGAGTCGGCGACAAAAATTTTCAAAAAAAGCCCTAATTTCGTCGCGAAAATTGCAGTTTTCGCTCTAAAAATGTAGTGATTTTTAGAAGAATATTTTTTTCAGCAAATCGACGACGACTACGATGATGAAGTGTTGCGCAACAGCACGTGTACGTCGAGATTTATGCAGGGATGGGGTTCGTCGACCCGATCGATTCTGTTCGGCGGCGGCGGGTCGAATGAGGAGCAGAGGAATTTGTAAGGATCCGAAATTGATGAAAAATGAGCTGAAAATCCTGAAAAATAAGCCAAAAATCCATAAAAATTGCGTCAATTTCGCTCTAATAGTAAGACTATTATCGTGTCGAGACCCGCACTCCAAGCCATGTTCCTTTAAATTACGGTAGCTGAAAAAATGTCAAAATAGTGAAAAACGTGCTAAATTTATCGGATTTTTTGCAAATTACCAATAAATTCCAAAATTTCAGAATTCCCAGCTCATCATCCCATCACTCCTACCACGATTCGCCGATGGAAGCACCGCCGGTAAGTATGAAATTGGGAAAATTCGAAAAAATCGGTTTTTTCTGGCGAAAATCTCAAAATTAGAGATTTTCAGCCGATTTTTTGTCAATTTCGAGCTGAAGATTTCAAAAAAAAAGTTAACTTTTCGAGATTTTTGAGCTTCAAAATCAGATTTATATTCCAGGAAGTGCACTACGAACAATTCACCGCCACCCAACACCACGGACCGCCCACCATGGCCTCTTCCTCTCAAATCAACTCCCGACGATGGGATCATGTGTTAAATTTGGACGAATTCTTCACCCACATCTATGAATATCATCAAAACGGCGGATATTTGTGTATTGTGCTTCAAAAACTGTTCAGTTTGCTTCAATTCATTTTTGTCATGGTACGTGTTAGCGGTGGAGCGCGTTTGGTGGAAAATTTGAGATTAAAAACAATTTTTTCGAAAAAAAATTCCAAAATGTTTCATTTCTCGAATTTTTCCTGATAAAATGTGTTTTTAACCATAAAAAACAGGAAAAATTAGACAAAAACCCCAAAAATATGCTATTTTTCATTAAATAACCCTAGAAATGAACAGATTTCGTATTTCGGCGATTTCGGTGTTCGCGGACTTTTTTTTTGAGATTTTCGTTTTGTTTTGAAAAATGCTGGTATTGCACTGAAAAAATCTGAGAAAATTAGCAAAAAATACCGATCAAATACCCCAGAAACATGCTATTTCTCATTGAATTACCCAAAAAATGAAAAATTTTGAGATTTGATGTATTGCGGACCGGTAACCTCGGTGTTTGCGGACTTTCACCGACCGTACTCTCCAACGAAAAAAAACATTTTTTTCGTTCAAATTTTGTCCTTTTCTTCAGCTTTTTGAAGCATTTTGAGTTTTTTTTTCGAAATTTGAGCTTGAAAAACCCTTGAAATCATTTTTTTTCAATTTTTGAAAAAAATGCTGAATCCCAAAATTTTTTGCATTTTTCTCGAACTTTTCGCAACTAAATCTGTTTTTCAGCATTAAATTTTAAAAAATCAGCAAAACGGTCCTCTCAATTACCCCAGAAACATGCTATTTTTCATTAAATTGCCCAAAAAAGGAAAATTTTGAGATTTGGTGTATTGCGGACCGAACACCTCGGTGTTTGCGGACTTTTACCGACCGTAATCGACGATGACAAAAGAAATTTTTTTCGTCGAACTTTTGATTTTTTTGTCGGAAAAACAGCTTTTTGAGAACAAAAAAGACTTTTTCAGTAAAAATTCTAGCAAAAGCGCCCCAAAGAACGAAAAAATCAACAAAAAATCTTTTTTTTTTTCAGAGCTTCACCACATTTTTCACCCAATGCGTCAACTATGACTTCCTATTCGCCAACACCAATGTCACCACCCACAACACCACAAACATTGGAAAACGACACTTCAGCGACGCCGTGGTGGACAATTGTGCCGCTCATTTGAGCATCTGGGCCGTTTTGGCCATCGTCGCGGCGGCGGTTTACTGGATTACGCGGGTCATCAAGCATGCGCAGTACATTATGAAAATGACCGAGATCCAGCAATTTTACGTTCATGAGCTGAAAATTCAAGACGATCAGCTGCCGAATCTGACGTGGCACGCGATTGTGAAGCGGATTTGTGAGGCGCAGAAGAAGTTGCGGCTCAGCATTCATCAGGATAATATTACGAGCATTTATATCTATCATAGGATTCTCAGATATAAGAATTATATGACCGGAATGGTTAATAAGGTGGGTATATTGAATTTAGGCGGAAACAGCTCAAAAAAATCTCAAAAATCGTCCTCGAATCTCGTAGAAGGCTCGGAAAAAAAAAAGATTTTTTTCGTATTTTTCGGAGTCTTCAATCGGAAATTTGATCGAACGGGGGGTTGTTTATTGTAGATTACTGTAGAGACACCCTCACGTCAAAATGCGGAAAAAAATTTGTTTGCAAAAAAACCATAATATTCCAGGTTGTCTACAGTAGTCTACAGTAATCTTTGCGACGAAAAATTGGGAAAAAATTGAAGAAAAATATCAAATTTAAGATTCTCGTTTTTTTTTTCGAATTCCCGCCAAAACTGAAAATTCTCCGTCTTTCAACTTTTCTGGAGATGGCCTAGAATTTTTAAATTTTGCCGATAATTCAAAATATAATGGTTCCAGAACCTTCAAAAATCGATTTTTCGAGGTTTTGCAATTTTTTTTTACATAGATATCGCTTCGAAAGTTCAAAATATCGAAAGTTCAAATTCCGGACAGACTTGTAACGAGCCGGGCCCGTCATTTCACAAGTTTTGAAAATTTCAAAAAACACATAAGGAGGGACCCTTATGTGATTTTTTTCAATCAAAAATTTTTTTTCGAGTTTTTTCGATCTTTTTTGATCAAACAGACAAACAATCCAAAAAAACAAAAAAAAATGGAGAAAATTATATTGAGAGCTCAAAATTACAGAATTTTTGACACCGGGCCTTGAAAATTTCCTCAGGCCCGGCCCGGCCCGGAATTTTACAAGTATGGTTCTGGATGCTTCTAGAAGGTTCCAGGACGAAACTCCAAAATTTTTCTCATTTTACAGTCTTAAAATCCCCATTTCCAGCGCATCCTCCACCCGGTGTTCGAGATCCCGTTCCTCGGCCCGATCGCCTACCTTCCCAACAACCTCAAACACGAAATCGAGCGTATCCTGTTCACAAGTTCCACGTCAGCATGGACCAACGGCCCCAACCTTCGCGACGAGTACAAACATCACGAGCAGCTAGAGCATGCGGCGAAGAAAATGAAAGAGGACTGCAAATTCTACGGATTCCTCTCCCTGATTCTTATGCCATTGCTTCTCCCGTTCCAGATGATGGAATCGTTTTTCTCGCTAACAGAGCTCATCAAAAGACGCCCTGATGGCCTAGGAATGCGGAGATATAGCAACTACGGGCGGTACCTGGTTCGCCATTTCAATGAGCTGGACCATGAACTCTCCGCTCGTCTGAATCGCTCTCACATCTATGCCGCAGCTTATATGGACCAATTTTTCTCCCCGGTCCTCGAAATTGTCGCTAAAAATGTGACATTTGCCGCCGCAGCCATCGTTGGAATTCTGACAATTTTATCTGCATGGGACGAGGATGTACTTCAGGTGGAGCATGTGCTTACAGTAATCACAATCTGCGGAATTATCATTCTCATTTGCCGTGGAATGATCCCCGATGAGAATCTCGTCTGGCAACCGGAGATTCTGATGACCCACGTCACCTCGGAACTTCACTACTTGCCATCCACGTGGAAGGGAAAGGCCCACACAGCGGGGGTCCGGCATCAGTTCGATCAACTGTTCCAGATGAAATGGATGTTTTTTGTGCTGGAATTGACGTCTCCTATCTTCACCCCCTTTGTTTTGCTATTCTGGTTGCGGCCGAGGTGTACACAGCTGGCGAATTTCTTCCATGACTATACGGAGCGAGTTGATGGTCTTGGAGACGTTTGTAGCTTTGCGGTGATGGATGTCGGGAAGCATGGGGATCCGAAATGGAATCATATTAAGGTAAGCAGTTTTTCGAAAACGTGTGTTAGGCCATTTAGCATGGTGGCCTAGGAATCTCAACTTGCAAAAGTTAGGCCACCATGTTAAAAGCGCCTAAAAAACCATCAGGTGAAAATCAAGTCATTTCTAAGCCATTTACCTAGCAAAAATGACATAGAAAACACATCAAGTGAATATCAGTCCATTTATAGGTCATTCACCATCGTGGCCTAGAAATCTCAACTTGCAAAAGTTAGGCCTTTTTGTTAAATTGGCCTAGAGCCTCTAGAAAACACACAAAATCAATACCATACCATTTCCAGGCCATTTACCGTGGTGGCCTAACTTTCGCAAGTTGATTTTTCTAGGCCAACATGAAAATTGCCTAAAAAATGACCTAATATTCGCTTGGTGTCTTTCCTGGACAATTTAGCATGGAGGCCTAGAAAATTCAACATACAAAAGTTAGGCCATCATGTTAAATTGGCCTAGAAACTCCTAGAAAACACAACAAATTGATATCAAGCCATTTCTAGGCCATTTACCGTGGTGGCCTAGAAAAATCAACTTGAAAAAGTTAGGCCACCATGTTAAAAGCGCCTAAAAAACCATCAGGTGACTATCAGGTCATTTCTAGGGCATTCATCAAAGTGGCCTAGAAATCTCAACTTGCAATAGTTAGTCCACCATGTTAAATTGCCCTAGAGCCTCTAGAAAACACACCAAATCAATACCATACCATTTCTAGGCCATTTACCGTCGTGGCCTAACTTTCGCAAGTTGAGTTTTCTAGGCCGAAATGAAAATTGCCTAAAAAATGACCTGATATTCACTTGGTGTTTTTCCTGGACAATTTAGCATGGTGGCCTAGAAAATTCAACATGTAAAAGTTAGGCCATCATGTTAATATGGCCTAGAAACTCCTAGAAAACCCACCAAATTGATAACAAGGCATTTCTAGCTGATTTACCATGGTGGTCTAGAAAACTCAATATGCAAAAGTTAGGCCATCATGTTAAAATGGACTAAAAACACACCAGTTACATATCAAGTCATTTCTACGCCATTCATTGTGGTGGCCTAGAAAACTCAACTTGAAAAAGTTAGGCCACCATGTTAAAAAGGACGTTCCCAAACTTTCAAATTTTGCAGGAACTCAAAGCGATCGACGAGGAGCAAGAAGAAGGCGGAGAACCGACTACAGTAACCTCCCACAACCGCGCCCGCGATGGAAAAACCGAACTTTCTGTGCTCCACTTCAAGACAACGAATCCAGAATGGCAGCCACCGAAAGCGTCGGAACGATTCCTCAGAAAGTTCCGGAATCGTCTGGGACAAGAGGCATCGATGTTGGCGCCAATTGGATCGATGCATCTGGGACAGCATCTGGGAGGTCAAGAACTTCCGACTCGTAACATCCTCCTGGAATCCGTCCACTCTATCGTTCCAACGACTTCTGGAGGCGTTACAGCTTCGCAATGCGCACCGGGACGTCATCCACTCATCGGAGAAGGTCTTCATCGTATTGATGGACCGCTTGAGAACGCATTCCAAGGAATTCCAGGGAAACAGTCTGGGGGAATTCTGGCGAGTCTCTATCAGGAACAACCCAGGGCCGCCGAGTCGTTGAACAATAGTTTGAGAGCCAGTGGAGTGGATATCGATGGAGCTGGCGCTGAGATGAGGATCAATGCACTGTTCTTGAGAGGACTTCATGATGAGAGTGTTATGTGAGTGTTTAAGGCTTCTAGGCCTATTTCAGGCTGTTTTGGACCAATTTTAAGGTCTTTTTTGACTAAGTATGGGTCTTTTGTGCCTCATTTTAGTGCTTTATTACCCATTTTAGGGGTTTTAGACCTATTTTAGGATGTTTTAGACATTTTTGGACCCTTTTTTAGATTTTCGGATATATTTCAGACATTTTTGGACCCATTTTTAACACTTTTTTAGGTCTTTTCAGACATTTTGGGACCATGTTCAGGCATTGGCATTTGTTACCTTTCTTAAGGCATTTTTAGACCTTATTTTAGGCTTTTTAGACTTACTTTAGACATTTTTTGACATATTTTAGCCCTTTTTTGGACTAATTTTTTAGCAATTTTAGACACTTTTAAAGCATTTTTTATTTTGAGCGTTTTTCGGCTTTAAGGCCTGTTTTTGGCTTTTTTAAAGGAATTTTCAGGCTTTCTTTAGACATTTTTAGTTCTTTTTTTGGTTTTTTTATGGCCTATTTTAGGCATTTTTCAGACATATTTTTGGATTTTTTAAACCTATTTCAGGCTATTCCAAATCGATTTTTGACTTTTTTAAATGATTTTTTGGACCTATTTTTGGCAAACAAGTTTCTCAAGTTTTCTAGAATTTTTCTGATAATTTTCGACTGAATCATCATCAAAGTTTCTGAATTCCCATTTTTTCAGCCAAAGCTCCTCGTCCCGCCACTACGGTAACGCCACGTCGAGCTTCAACATGCACCCAACAGCGATGCAGAGTGTGTTCGCAATGCCCGACGGATTCGGACAACTTCCAGAAGTGGCATCCTCCCTGATCAACGTTGAAACGCCGACGTATCGACGTGAATCCACTCAGAGATCGGTTTCCGGGGAGCTGGAATCGGAGCACCGGGCTCCAGAGCCACTTGCGGAGCTTTCGGATCTTCCATCATCTTCTGAAGCCGGGACGTCTTCTGAACGGCTTATTGATCATCCGGCGCCGAAATCCAGCAAACGAAGGCCTCAAGAACCGGCACAACATCATCAGATCAATGAGGTCGATGAGGAGGAGGAGGACGAAGACGATGAGGACAATACGCCACCTCTCAGTTTTAGTTCTTAAATTTTTTTTGGCATATTTTTTTGAAATTTTCGCATAATCCTGTACAATCTCCCTCGTTTTACCCCTCTATTCTACTCACATTTCCCCCTTTTATCCCTCATTCTTTTTTGTAAATTTTGCCTTTTTGAATTTCGAATTCTTCTGTAAAAAAAACCACGTGTCGCCGCTTTTTTTCACCACTAATCACCTAGTAAAAATCAATAGTTTTTCATGTCTATGAGCACAATTTTTACCTTTTTTTTTAATTTTTTCAAATTTCCCGCCAAAACTAACAATTGCAGCAGCTGTACATTTTTTGACCCCGTTGTAAAAGTACTTGTACTTTTCATGTTTTTTCCAATTTTTTTCCAATTTGTTTTGTATAAATTCAGTGATTTTCTCTTTTTTTTTCTTCCTTTTCGTTTAGAACCTCCGCCCCGTTGTTAACCGGTTTTTATCGATTAGTTTTCAGAATTTTTGAATTTCAGAATTTTCGATTTTCGCGCCAAAATCCAAAATTTTCCAGATGAGACCCGATGATCATCGCAAATTTGGCACGTTTCCAGCCAAGTCAGGATCTGGTGGTCCTGGAAAATTCAGCGCTCCGAAGTTTACAGAGGGAAATAAATTTCAGCAAATGGTAAAAATTTAGCTGAAAAGCAGCAGAATTTTCAAAAAAACGTAATTCTGCAAATTTTGAATTTTCGAAAAATTCGACTAGAAATCCAAAAAAGCATACTTGTAAAATTCCTCAATATAATTTTTTCCTTTTTTTTCGTTTTTCGGATTGTTTGTCTGTCTGATCAAAAAAGATAGAAAAAACTCGAAAAAATTTTTGGTCGAAAAAAATCACAGGGAAAGTCCCCCCTTATGTGTTTTTTTTTGAAAATTTCAAAACTAGTGAAATGACGGGCCCGCCGGGCCGGGCCTCCAAAATTCCGGAAAAAGCCCGGCCCGGCCCGTTACAAGTATGCAAAAAAGTAAATTCTGAAGAATTGTAAATTTTTCAAAATTTCCGGAACAAAAAACTTGAATTACAGCCAAAAATTGCCCAGAAAATGTTTAGCCAAAAATTTCAAAATTTTGATTTTTTTTCCAATTCTCAAAATTTTGGGAAAAATAGAAATTCCAGCCAAAAATATCAAAAAATTCTAGGAAATTTCTAGAATTTTTCGAGTTTTCACCCTAAAATTCTCAAAAATTTTCCAGGCCACATTCAACAAGCAACAAGAGCAATCTGGCGATTTTCGCGGTGCTCCCCAAAATCGAAAAATCCATTTCGGCGGAACGCCAAAAATGCAGTATCGCGAGGGCGGAAAGTTCTATAAGCCACCGCCAGGAGCCGAAGCTTCTGCTGCTGCTGCCGGAAATTTCAAAGACAAAAAAGGCGGAAAATTTGAAAAACGAGGAGCCAAATCTGGAAAGTTTGGAGACAAGAAAGGCGGAAAATTCGACAAAAAAGCCAAGGGCGATCCTGTGAAGGGCACATCTACCGAATATGAGCAACTAGGGAATTCAGATGAGGATGACGACGTCATTGATGTATCCGACATGTTTGAGAAGGAGGAAGAAGAAGAAGTTCCGATGATCAATTCTACGAAAAATGCTCTCAAATCCACTAAAAAATCGGCGCCACCACCCGTTGCACCTTCGAATAATCGATTTGCAGCACTGGCAGATGATGATGACGTGGAAGACGACGATGAAGAGGAGCCGAAGCCAAAAAAGAAGAAGACGTCAGCCGATTCTGATGAGGAGGATTCTGAAGCTCTTGAAGAGGATGAATCCGAAGAGGACGACGAAGAAGAACGCTTGAAATTCCGCGAAGAAATCGCCCAGATGCCCCTAGGCAAGGTAAAGGAAATGAAGGAGAAATTGGGCATCAAACTGTTCAACAAGACCTATTTCGGAACATCGGAAGTTGATAAAAAGCGGCAGGAAGTGAAAAAAGTCGAAAAATCTGCTGAAAAAGGAGGACAACATCGGCCCAAAGAGATTTCTTCGAAACGACCGGTTTCAGCGTTCCGAAATATTTATGGAGATCATGAGAAGGGTACTAAGAAGAGGTAGGAGTGGATTTTTCCTGGAAAAACTATTAAAAATGAGTGAAAACCCCTTTTTCCAGCAAAATAGCCGAATTTTTAGATAATTTTCGTCAAATTAGCGCCGAAATGTTCGAATTTTAATTCTAATTTCTATTTTCAGAAGAAAAATTTTCAAAATTCAAATCAGCGCCAAAAATGCGAGTGCGGCATGGAAAAGTGGGCGGAGCCTAGAATTTGCATATCTGCCGCGCACTTTTTCCTCGTCTTTTCACTCGGATTTTTTTTTGGAAAAAAGGAAATTCCGGGTTTTTCGACAAGAAAAAGGAATTTAACTGGAAAATGTGTCAATTTTCTAATCTAATTCCGATTTTCAGCAGAGAAATCTTAAAATTAAGTGAAAACCCCTTCATTTCTCTCCATTTTAGGCTAAATTTTTCACACGGTCGATTTTTTATTTCTGAATCGAATTCATTCGAAACCTCTTTTGATTTTTGGCGGAAAATAGGTGAAAAACTCGTTGTTTTCCTTCATTTTAGTCAAATTTCTATTTAAATTAACGCCAAAAACGCAAAAGCCGCATGGAAAAGTGGGCGGAGTCTTGGAAAGTTGCATGCCCGCCGCGCACTTTTTTCTCGATTTTTTACTCGAAATTCATTAAAAATTTCTAACAGGCAACCATGTCAAAATTCTTCCGATTTCCGGCGAAAAAAACAATTTTTAACTGAATTTCATTTTTTTTTTTCAGAAAATGGGACCCACGCTTCGACTCGCGAGCCGGCGACTTCAAAGAAGTTTGCTTCGAGAACAACTATCAATTCCTCGACGAGATTCGAACCGGGGAAATGCAAGACTTGAGGAACGAGTACAGCACGGCGAGAGCCGAAGGAGACGAGCACAAGGCGGCGAGGTTGAAAAATGTAGGATTTTTAAAAAGCTTTTCTGGAAAATAGCCAGAAGATTGCTAGAAACCTCTAGGAAATTCAATTTTTTCAATTTTCAAAACAAAGTTCCAAACTTCAGACGCTCCAAAAAATGGAAACGCGAGAAAAGACGCGTGCCGAGAAGCGTCGACAAGCCGAGACCCGAAAAGAGCTGCACGACGATAACATTGAACGAATGCTACGTGGCGAGGCGCCCATCTTCAGAACCAAGGCGCAAGTCCGTCGGATTGACGCTGAGAAGAAGTATGAGGAGCTCAAAAAGGGCAACAAGCTGGACAAGTATCTGCAGAAGAAGGCCAAAAAGGAGTCGGCGAAACAGAAGAAGGCCCGACCACCGTTTGAAGGATATGGATACGGCAATTAGCGTTAATTATGTGTTAATTGGTTTTTTTTTCTTTGTTGTTACTCGTCTTGTTAAACTCGTTAAAATATGATATATTGATTGTTGATTTTACTAATTAGATTAATTAGTTAGGTATTTGGGGTGGAGGGGGTCAAAGAATTCCGGAAAAGGAAAGGAAAATGTTGGTTTAAGGGGTGAAATTGGATTAGCTACTAGTTTCGTTTCTCGGTATATAAACAAAATTAGGCAGTAATGGAACGGTAAGAAGAAATGCTGATGAGATTTCGATTTCTTTGCTTTCCGTTTTTGATATTCTGGATTTTTTCGGCGGTTTCGAGGGTTGAAGGTGGGTTCATCGCGATTTTTTTCGTTTTTAAAAAAGTTTATTGAGAATGGACCATATTACTGTATTAAAGGCGCACTACAATGATTTAAAAAAAATTTAATTTAATTCTTTTGAAAAAAATCCATAAAAAAGAGAGAAAATAGGCGGAGAAAAGTTATACAAATTTGAAAAATCGACGCAGTGGAAGAGAAACCGCCGGTGGCCGTGGCCGAAGGTCCCACAACGACAACTACCGTAATTTTCAAATATATTAGTTTTCGAAGTTTTTTTTTTCTCGATTTTCGTGCGTTTTCGCAAAAAATTGTTCGATATTCAACGAAATACCAATTATCCGATTTATGGGCGAAAAGAAAAACAGAAAAACCACTAAAATGTTCCAAAATGAATTATTTATGAGGTACGGTATTAAAGACGCATGCACTTATTCAAAAAAAAAACTTTGTATTTACGGCAGCAACGCGTATCACCGTCAGAGTACAGTATTAAAGCAAATTCGGGTTACGGTATTAAAGGCGCAGTTAGTTCAATGTGAATATTTACAAGTAAAAGTACAGTATCCCGAAAAATCGTTTCTCAATTCAAAATTTGGTTCCGAGCCAATTTTCGACGCGTCGCGTGTCGGCGTCGCATTCGCCAGCTGAAAATTCTTTGAAGCCCACCCGATACGTCCACTTTGAGCTCAAATATCTCGGTTCCTATGAGAGATATCAAACATTTGTCAACTAATAAAATGTTTATCACATTATCACCAACATTTTATCAGTTGGCAATTTTTTAGTATCCCTGATAGGAACCGAGATAATTGAGCTCAAAGTTGACAGTTTGGGTGAGCGTCTATTAGAGACAACACTTTATTTAACTCACTTTATCTCGATTGCTATGAGAGTTATCAGAAATATATCAGCTGATAAAATGTTCATCATAATATCATCAACGTTTTATCAGTTGGTAAATTTTTGATATATCTTATAGGAACCGAGATAATTGAGCTCAAAGTAAATGTATAGTGTTTTCTATTGGAGCATTTACGGATATTTGTAACAAGAAAATCTAGCTTCGAAACAACACAAAAAACAAACAAGTAATACCTCAGAAATTGAAATTCGCGAAATCTAAGCCTCATAGATTCCAGGATCGATAATTTCCCGCGGCGAACAACCAACACCATCTCCTTCCGATTCCTCTCAATCCACTTTGATCCCAAATTTCCCATGGATGGAAAATATTCCAAAAATCGAGTTCACCACTTCGAAACCAAAAAAACCGAACGCGATTCGTGAAGGCTTGATAGAACAAGTGAGAAGTGGAAAGATACCGAGAGAATTGGCGCCGTTTGTGAATTTGACAAAGATTGATGAGATGAAGAAGGATCACAATGAGGTGGGTCGTTATATGTACACTTTGCGCTCATTTATCTTGGTTTTTTGTGAAGATATCAGAAGCCTGTCAACTGATAAAAAATTGCTGATGTTATGATCAGCATTTTGTTTGTTGACCGCTTTCTGATAGCTTTCACTGGAACCGAGATAATTGAGCTCAAAGTGAAGGTATTGGGCGGGCTTCTATTATTGCAAGTACCGTGCTTCGACTCAATTTATCTCGGTTACTGTATTAGATATCAAAAAGATGCCAACTAACAAAATTTTACGCATAATATGATAAGAATTTTACAAGTTGACTGCTTTTTGATATCTCTCCCAGGTATCCAGATAAATAGGCTTGAACTTGAAAGTTGCAGACACTAGACTTCATAATACGCGACGAAGACGTGGCAGACGTTCCGGATGACGATGTGGAGCACCGAAAAGTGAATACAATCAGTCATGATGGCAATAAAACAATCGTTACCATATCTGATGAAGCTAGAGATGATTTGTATAAACACTGGATGGACCAAAGTTTGGCTGGATTGATGGGAGCAGTTGTTACTAATGTGTAGGGCATTTTTTGCATTGGGCGTGTTTGGTGAACGAAAATTTTTTGAATTTGAAGATATAGTACCGGGGAACACTTCTCAGCCTAGGTGACCTAACTTTCGCAAAACGAGTTTTCTGGGACACTTTGGTGAAAGCCCAGAAAACCCACTAGGTAATTATTAGGTCATTTCTAGGCTATTCACCCTGATGGCCTGAAAAAATTTTGTTGGAAACCTAGTCCACCATGGTAAATGGACTAGAAATGTTTCAATTTTGTCCATCGGGTGAAATCAGAAAACCTCAAAAGATACTGTTTTTTCCAACAATTAGACACCTGGCGGGTTTTCTAGATCATCTCATCATGGTGACCTAACTTTTGCATGTGTTGTTTTCTAGGCCATCATGGTAAACAACTTCATAAAAATTCCAGAATCAACAAGCGCAAAATGACGAAAAACGAGAAAAAGGAGCACTACGTGTGCATCCATGAATCCAAAAATGTGACTGCTCATGCAAAGTGCGTGGTTACTGTACTTGATCAGTTGAAGAAACGAAACGAGAAGCTAAAAATGTACAGTACCCTAACGACTAGATGTAAGTTCGTTTTGGATTACTGTACCTGCAGATCATACTTAAGTGAACTCACACCGAAAAAATAATCGAATGGATAATGAAGCATTCAAAACAACGCTGGGGCACTACGAAAAATATGTGAAGTCTGGTGCAGAGGAGTTCAGGGTGAAGAGGGCATCTGGATTTTCGATTTTTGACGAATTGGAGAGTAAGAGGCAGGCAGCAATCAGAGGGAATGTGCAGACAAGGAAGTCTTATACAATTCGGGAGAACAAAAGTTTGTCGCCATTAGCATTGATTGCTAGGAAACTGACAGAACTGGTCAGAGCTGGGAAGAATAAAAAGGAACAGCCAAAAAGGTAACCTTTGTTTTTTTCACATTTTCTGGAAGTTAGTTTCCAAAAGTACACGTCGAGTTTACGGGTCCCATTTCATGTGCCCATGACATAAGCTACCGTAGTACCTGATAATAGGTTCATAAACTTGACGCTATTTTTTCTCAATTCCTGAGAAAGATATCAAAAAGTGATCAACATACAAAATGTCTATCATGATACTGAAACTATTTTACTTGTTAACCACTTTTTGATATTTTTCACAGAAGCCGAGATAAATCGGCTTAAAAATTAACAGTTAGAATGGTACGGTAGGATGTTTGTTACAGACCCTAATTAGCAATCCCAAGATATAGGTTACTGTATAACCTGAAAAAGATCCGTAAACTTTTTAAAACTTCCAGATGGCAACAAGTGATACAAGACATCAAGGAAGAGAGCACACGGATCAAGAGCAAAAAGAGAAACAAGGACAGAATGAAACGAAAATTCTCGAAATTCGTGTCCACTATGAAAGAGGCTGGAATTAATCCAAGGAAGGCGCTGAATACGATGGTAATTGAAATTTAAAGGGATAACCCTGAAAGAAATGATTTCAGGGAATGGAAGACCTATTCGAAGATGATCCAATCCTTTCTGAAAAAGAAATGGAGCTAAAGGACCGGAAGGAGATGATGGAGAGGATGAGTCCAGATGATAAAATCCTGCATGAGCCTATCAAATTAATTCGAGAAGCTATCAAAATCGGGATGACCATGGCTGGAAAAAACGCGTCTGAAATTGGTGATAAGAAAATTGCATTCTTATCACCCCAGTTTATGAGCATTCTTCCCGATGAAGTGGCCAACGATACCGTATCCCTTCTCTCCCCATCGATTCTTGCTCTTCATGGCGAAGGATCAACCATGGATCGACAATTATCCCTTACAAAAGCTTTGAAACTAATGGAAGATACTGGACAGGAGGAATGGATGAATTTTGTTTTGGAAGCTTCTGGTGTCACGGAAACTGTCGACAAGATGAGAGAATTGGAGAAGAAAGAGGAGAATGATGAGATGAGGAAGGATTTTATTGATAAGGATGGCAAGCCGATTTTCTTTACCAAAGAGAATGCGACCGAGATTTATGGGGAGTACGAGGCGATGAAATTGGATATTATTCAAGGGGTGTATAAGAATATGTCCCAGGAGCAGGTTGGGTCTTTTTAGTCGCTTTCAGTATTCAGGCTGGGCAATAATCTTTTTGCAGGCTTTCTGAGCTGAATAGTATTTATGGGACTTGGAAAGCTCAAAAAATCTTATTGGTTCATAGACTGCATTGTGCCTTTGGAAACCTCTAATAGAATGACCGCTTAACTTTCAACTTCGAGCCAGTTTTTTCTGGATTTCTGTAAATGATATCAAATAGTAGTCAACTGAAAAATACTAATAATTTAATGATACACATTTTATCAGTTTCTAGAGCAAATACGGTATCCTACTTGGATCCTTTTTTGTGAAAAATAGTCAACTTTGATGCCCTACAAAATGAGGACAGAATTTACAAAATTGTCTAAAAATTTCAGACTATACTAAACAAAGTTTGGCTATCATTTTTGTAGTTGACAACTTTTTTGTAAAGGTTCAACGAAGCGAGATAAGCGGTTTTCTATGCTAATTTCGACATTTTTGGTTACAATCGGCATATCTCATCCGAATGGAACTTGGCTGGAAAATCGCGAATTACAAAAATGAGAATATTTTTATGTTTTGTATGATCTGAACTTTTCAGAGCAATAGGAAAATTCTGGAATACTTTTTGAGGACACCGAAGTTGACTACTGTAAATACTCAAATAGAATTCCCCCCTATA